TGGCCATTTTAAAGTTTCCATTAGTTCGTACCACAAATAATAGCTAAAAACGCCGAAAACTCAATATTTAAGGAGTTATGGCCATTTTAAAGTTTCTATTAATTCGTACCTAAAAAAGTGATCACAAATAAAAGCTAAAAACGCCGAAAACTCAATATTTAAGGAGTTATGGCCATTTTAAAGTTTCCATTAGTTCGTACCACAAATAATAGCTAAAAACGCCGAAAACTCAATATTTAAGGAGTTATGGCCATTTTAAAGTTTCCATTAATTCGTACCTAAAAAAGTGATCACAAATAATAGCTAAAAACGCCGAAAACTCAATATTTAAGGAGTTATGGCCATTTTAAAGTTTCTATTAATTCGTACCTAAAAAAGTGATCACAAATAAAAGCTAAAAACGCCGAAAACTCAATATTTAAGGAGTTATGGCCATTTTAAAGTTTCCATTAGTTCGTACCACAAATAATAGCTAAAAACGCCGAAAACTCAATATTTAAGGAGTTATGGCCATTTTAAAGTTTCTATTAATTCGTACCTAAAAAAGTGATCACAAATAAAAGCTAAAAACGCCGAAAACTCAATATTTAAGGAGTTATGGCCATTTTAAAGTTTCCATTAGTTCGTACCACAAATAATAGCTAAAAACGCCGAAAACTCAATATTTAAGGAGTTATGGCCATTTAAAGTTTCCATTAATTCGTACCTAAAAAAGTGATCACAAATAATAGCTAAAAACGCCGAAAACTCAATATTTAACGAGTTATGGCCATTTTAAAGTTTCTATTAATTCACTCTTAAAAAAGTGATCACAAATAATAGCTAAAAACGCCGAAAACTCAATATTTAATGAGTTATGGCCATTTTAAAGTTTTCATTAATTCGTACCTAGAAAAGTGATCACAAATAATAGCTAAAAACGCCGAAAACTCAATATTTAAGGAGTTATGGCCATTTTAGAGTTTTCATTAATTCGTACCTAAAAAAGTGATCACAAATAATAGCTAAAAACGCCGAAAACTCAATATTTAAGGAGTTATGGCCATTTTAAAGTTTCTATTAATTCACTCTTAAAAAGGTGATCACAAATAATAGCTAAAAACGCCGAAAACTCAATATTTAAGGAGTTATGGCCATTTTAAAGTTTCTATTAATTCAGTCTTAAAAAAGTGATCACATATAATAACTAAAAACGCCGAAAACTCAATATTTAAGGAGTTATGGCCATTTTAAAGTTTCTATTTATTCGTACCTAAAAAAGTGATCACAAATAATAGCTAAAAACGCCGAAAACTCAATATTTAAGGAGTTATGGCCATTTTAAAGTGTTCATTAATTCGTACCTAAAAAAGTGATCACAAATAATAGCTAAAAACGCCGAAAACTCAATATTTAAGGAGTTATGGCCATTTTAAAGTTTCTATTAATTCAGTCTTAAAAAAGTGATCACATATAATAACTAAAAACGCCGAAAACTCAATATTTAAGGAGTTATGGCCATTTTAAAGTTTCTATTTATTCGTACCTAAAAAAGTGATCACAAATAATAGCTAAAAACGCCGAAAACTCAATATTTAAGGAGTTATGGCCATTTTAAAGTTTCTATTAATTCGTACCTAAAAAAGTGATCACAAATAATAGCTAAAAACGCCGAAAACTCAATATTTAAGGAGTTATGGCCATTTTAAAGTTTCTATTAATTCACTCTTAAAAAAGTGATCACAAATAATAGCTAAAAACGCCGAAAACTCAATATTTAAGGAGTTATGGCCATTTTAAAGTTTCTATTAATTCGTACCTAAAAAAGTGATCACAAATAAAAGCTAAAAACGCCGAAAACTCAATATTTAAGGAGTTATGGCCATTTTAAAGTTTCCATTAGTTCGTACCACAAATAATAGCTAAAAACGCCGAAAACTCAATATTTAAGGAGTTATGGCCATTTTAAAGTTTCCATTAATTCGTACCTAAAAAAGTGATCACAAATAATAGCTAAAAACGCCGAAAATTCAATATTTAACGAGTTATGGCCATTTTAAAGTTTCCATTAATTCGTACCTAAAAAAGTGATCACAAATAATAGCTAAAAACGCCGAAAACTCAATATTTAAGGAGTTATGGCCATTTTAAAGTTTCTATTAATTCACTCTTAAAAAAGTGATCACAAATAATAGCTAAAAACGCCGAAAACTCAATATTTAAGGAGTTATGGCCATTTTAAAGTTTCTATTAATTCGTACCTAAAAAAGTGATCACAAATAATAGCTAAAAACGCCGAAAACTCAATATTTAAGGAGTTATGGCCATTTTAAAGTTTTCATTAATTCGTACCTAAAAAAGTGATCACAAATTATAGCTAAAAACGCCGAAAACTCAATATTTAATGAGTTATGGCCATTTTAAAGTTTCTATTAATTCTATCTAAAAAAGTGATCACAAATAATAGCTAAAAACGCCGAAAACTCAATATTTAAGGAGTTATGGCCATTTTAAAGTTTCTATTAATTCACTCTTAAAAAGGTGATCACAAATAATAGCTAAAAACGCCGAAAACTCAATATTTAAGGAGTTATGGCCATTTTAAAGTTTCTATTAATTCGTACCTAAAAAAGTGATCACAAATAATAGCTAAAAACGCCGAAAACTCAATATTTAAGGAGTTATGGCCATTTTAAAGTTTTCATTAATTCGTACCTAAAAAAGTGATCACAAATTATAGCTAAAAACGCCGAAAACTCAATATTTAAGGAGTTATGGCCATTTTAAAGTTTCTATTAATTCGTACCTAAAAAAGTGATCACAAATAATAGCTAAAAACGCCGAAAACTCAATATTTAAGGAGTTATGGCCATTTTAAAGTGTTCATTAATTCGTACCTAAAAAAGTGATCACAAATAATAGCTAAAAACGCCGAAAACTCAATATTTAAGGAGTTATGGCCATTTTAAAGTTTTTATTAATTCACTCTTAAAAAAGTGATCACAAATAATAGCTAAAAACGCCGAAAACTCAATATTTAAGGAGTTATGGCCATTTTAAAGTTTTCATTAATTCGTACCTAAAAAGTGATCACAAATAATAGCTAAAAACGCCGAAAACTCAATATTTAAGGAGTTATGGCCATTTTAAAGTTTCTATTAATTCGTACCTAAAAAAGTGATCACAAATAATAGCTAAAAACGCCGAAAACTCAATATTTAAGGAGTTATGGCCATTTTAAAGTTTCTATTAATTCGTACCTAAAAAAGTGATCACAAATAATAGCTAAAAACGCCGAAAACTCAATATTTAAGGAGTTATGGCCATTTTAAAGTTTCCATTAGTTCGTACCACAAATAATAGCTAAAAACGCCGAAAACTCAATATTTAAGGAGTTATGGCCATTTTAAAGTTTCCATTAATTCGTACCTAAAAAAGTGATCACAAATAATAGCTAAAAACGCCGAAAACTCAATATTTAACGAGTTATGGCCATTTTAAAGTTTCTATTAATTCACTCTTAAAAAAGTGATCACTATTTAAGGAGTTATGGCCATTTTAAAGTTTCTATTAATTCGTACCTAAAAAAGTGATCACAAATAATAGCTAAAAACGCCGAAAACTCAACATTTAAGGAGTTATGGCCATTTTAAAGTTTCTATTAATTCACTCTTAAAAAAGTGATCACAAATAATAGCTAAAAACGCCGAAAACTCAATATTTAAGGAGTTATGGCCATTTTAAAGTTTCTATTAATTCGTTCCTAAAAAAGTGATCACAAATAAAAGCTAAAAACGCCGAAAACTCAATATTTAAGGAGTTATGGCCATTTTAAAGTTTCTATTAATTCGTACCTAAAAAAGTGATCACAAATAAAAGCTAAAAACGCCGAAAACTCAATATTTAAGGAGTTATGGCCATTTTAAAGTTTCCATTAGTTCGTACTACAAATAATAGCTAAAAACGCCGAAAACTCAATATTTAATGGGTTATGGCCATTTTAAAGTTTCCATTAATTCGTACCTAAAAAAGTGATCACAAATAATAGCTAAAAACGCCGAAAACTCAATATTTAACGAGTTATGGCCATTTTAAAGTTTCTATTAATTCACTCTTAAAAAAGTGATCACAAATAATAGCTAAAAACGCCGAAAACTCAATATTTAAGGAGTTATGGCCATTTTAAAGTTTCTATTAATTCGTTCCTAAAAAAGTGATCACAAATAAAAGCTAAAAACGCCGAAAACTCAATATTTAAGGAGTTATGGCCATTTTAAAGTTTCTATTAATTCGTACCTAAAAAAGTGATCACAAATAAAAGCTAAAAACGCCGAAAACTCAATATTTAAGGAGTTATGGCCATTTTAAAGTTTCCATTAGTTCGTACTACAAATAATAGCTAAAAACGCCGAAAACTCAATATTTAATGGGTTATGGCCATTTTAAAGTTTCCATTAATTCGTACCTAAAAAAGTGATCACAAATAATAGCTAAAAACGCCGAAAACTCAATATTTAACGAGTTATGGCCATTTTAAAGTTTCTATTAATTCACTCTTAAAAAAGTGATCACTATTTAAGGAGTTATGGCCATTTTAAAGTTTCTATTAATTCGTACCTAAAAAAGTGATCACAAATAATAGCTAAAAACGCCGAAAACTCAACATTTAAGGAGTTATGGCCATTTTAAAGTTTCTATTAATTCACTCTTAAAAAAGTGATCACAAATAATAGCTAAAAACGCCGAAAACTCAATATTTAAGGAGTTATGGCCATTTTAAAGTTTTCATTAATTCGTTCCTAAAAAAGTGATCACAAATAATAGCTAAAAATGCCGAAAACTCAATATTTAAGGAGTTATGGCCATTTTAAAGTTTTCATTAATTCGTACCAAAAAAAAGTGATCACAAATAATAGCTAAAAACGCCGAAAACTCAATATTTAAGGAGTTATGGCCATTTTAAAGTTTCTATTGCCCCAGTCATTCTGAAATTCCTTGGTTGATAAATCAAAGTCATATCATTCTGGGATTTGTTGTTGTGTTTTGTTTTTATTTTCGAAATACGTTAAAATTCTTATAGTTTATAGTTGTTATAGAGTGTTTTCCAATCCAACATGGATTTCATTATAAATCACTACTACACTTCTCTCGAGGGAAAACATGTTTTTCTTCTTCTTTTCCATTTCTTGTGTACATTTCTCAATATACATGAGTTTTGGGGGGATAGGGGGTCTTGTTTGCATTTTCTTTCAAATCTTAAGTTACAGAGAAATACTTAAAATCATAGAGATAAATAAAATTAGATTTGTTGTTTTGTTTCTGTTCTCTTATTCTTGTTTCCAATAGGAATTACATGGTTTCAATAAAGGAGATAGGTGTTATCTTACTTTGTTTTAGAGTAAACGGGACGCGTTCGTTCTCCGTTCCGTTCTTGCTTTCATCATTCATCGCTTTCATAAAAACAAAAACTTGGTTAAAAAAGGAAGCTAATTTCATCATTATAGTCAAAACAAACTAAGCTTAAATTAAAATTTAAATAAGGAAATTAGATCAAAGTTATACCACTGTATAGTAGGCAGGCAGGGGGCGTACCGAAATACAGGTATTCATATGAAGAGACAAAAGTAAAGAGGAGGGGACTTAGTTACTTATAGAAAAAGAGAGGGGGGAAAATCTAAAGAAATCTTATTAAAAGTTAAGATCTATGGCCACACTCAAATCATGTAATTTAGGCCACCCCACCTCTTGTGCGGTCGGTCTCAGTGTAGGGTGGGGGAAGTGGTGGCGATTGGTTTTACTTTGAAGTTATAAATTAAGATGCTTTTCTCTTTAGATGCGTCTTTGGAAGGAATTGTTACTGCCACCACCAACACCAATGCTGCCACCCGAGCTGTAGTTATTGCCAATTGGAGGTCCACCAAAGCTGTTAACTCCACCCATGCCACTGCCGCCACCGACACCACCACCGGAATTCTTCTTGCCATTGAAGAACAGTTCAATATAGCGGGAACCCATTTGATTGCGATCACGTTTCATTGCTCTCTGGGCATCTTCATAAGATTCAAAGCATGCCTCGGCTGTGCCACTGTGGCGATTCTTATCATTGTAAATGATACGTACATTGGCTGGACGCAAGGGCTCAAAGAACTGAAACGAAAAACAAGATTTTTTAATAAATTGTTAAACACTTGACTAAAGCCATCCATCTCATCCTCACCTTAAAGACGTCATTTTCATATGAACTGAATGGCAAACCGCGCATATGTACCACATACAGATCATCACCGCGGCCGCCACCAATGGGACCAAAGTTGCCACCACCGCCCATATTGTTGCCACCGAATCCACCGCCAAAACCTCCATTACCACCGCCATTGTTACCGCCTCCAAAATTGCCAAAGTTGCCGAAGTTACCAAAGTTGCCACCATTGTTGCTGGGGCCATTTCCGCGATTGTTGCCAAAGTTATTAAAATCGCCAAAATCGTTACTTCCTCCAAAGCGATTGAAAGCACTACCACCACCGCCGCCGCCGGAGTTGTTGCCGAAATTGCCGTTGTTTCCAAAATTACCACTGTTGCCAAAGTTTCCGTTATTACCGAAATTTCCGCTATTGCCGAAATTGCCATTGTTGCCGAAATTGCCAAAACTGCGGCCACCACCATTAGCACCACCACCTCCATTGCCACCACCAAAGTTTCCATTATTTCCGAAATTGCCAAAGTTGCCATTATTTCCGAAATTTCCATTATTGCCAAAGTTGGGTAAATTATTAAAGCCGAGGGTATTATTGGCGCCGGATCCAAAGCCGCCACCATTACCCCAACCTCCACCTAAATATAAGACGGGAATAATGTTAGCACAATATAGACGACGGGTAGGAAGATAGCTTAAAATGGACCTGACACTACACAGAAAAGAATACCGAATGTGGACTTTTTCAGGCATTCAGGTGACTAAAAGGACTGAAAGGGGAACTTATAGATGGCTGAAGATGCCTTTTGTGAGTATATTTCAGGTGACTGAAAAAAGCCTCTCTGGTATCTGAAAGAAGGCCTTTCGGGTGACTGAAAGGAGGCCTCTTAGGTGATTAAAAGAAGTCTTTTAAGGTAACTGAATGAACGCCTTTCAGGTGACTGAAAGGAGGCCATTTAGGTGTCTTGCAGGAGGCCTTTCAGGTAACTAAAAGCATGCCTTTCAGGTGACTAAAAGAAGTAAAAGCACGGGCTTTTCAGGTGACTGAAAGGGGACCCCCTTTTTCAGGTGACTGAAAGGAGACCCCTTTTTGAGGTGACTGAAAGGAGACCCCTTTTTGAGGTGACTGAAAGGAGACCCCTTTTAGGTGACTGAAAGGAAGTCTTTCAGGTGACTTAAAGTGGGCCTAATAGGTGATTAAAAGGGGGCCTTTCAGTTGACTGAAAGGAGGCCTTTCAGGTGACTAAAAGGGGTCTTCATCTGAAAGGGGTCTTCTTTTAGTCACCTGAAAGGAGACCTCTATCAGGTGACTGAAAGGAGACCTCTTTCAGGCGACTGAAAGGAGACCCCTTTCAGGTGACTAAAAGAAGACCCCTTTCAGATGACTGAAAGAAGACTCCTTTCAGGTGACTGGAAGGAGACCCCTTTCAGGTGACTGAAAGGAGACCCCTTCAGCTGACTGAAAGGAGACCTCTATCAGGTGACTGAAAGGAGACCTCTTTCAGGCGACTGAAAAGAGACCCCTTTCAGATGACTGATAGGAGACCCCTTTTTCAGGTGACTGAAAGGAGACCCCTTTTTCAGGTGACTGAAAGGAGACCCCTTTCAGGTGACTGAAGGAAGGCCTTTCAGATGACTGAAAGGAGACCCCTTTCAGGTGACTGATAGGAGACCCCTTTCAGGTGATTGAAAGGCTTTTAAGGTGACAGAAAAGAGACGCTTTTCAGGTGATTTAAAATGTGTTTTTCGGGAATCTTTTCACGAACCCTAAGTCAGTGCTGATCTTTGGGACCATCACGAAGGATCTTTGCTAAAAATAGATTTACAAACTTTTTTTCAAAATAGTTTCTGATACTTACGATTACGATTGTTTCCGCCAAAATCGTTGTTACCACGATTGCTGCCACGATCCTTTAAATCATATGGAGCCATACGGCCATTGCCGCTTACGGAACGTTTCAGTTCAGCAATAGAGCTGCGGAAAATCTCAATGTACCTAAAGGGGGAGAGCAATAAAAGAAATGGTAAATATTAAAAACAATATATCTTCACGAGGGTGATGAAATACAAAATCCATTTGCAGTAAGGCGACGAGACTTTTTGACGATTGCGCAATTAAGGAAAATAAATGCTTCTTGGCTTATTTATTGAATATTTAAAGAATGAAGAAGTTTGAAACTGTTAACATTAACAATTCCAAGAACACAACACTTCAAGTTGTTTGTATTTGATAATGATGTAGAATTTTATAACCCAATCTAGGAGGGAGAAAAAAATTAAACAAAAAAATAGATATTCTAGGAAAAACAATAAAGAATTTTGCTCAAACGCCTTCATTTTGCAAAATTATGATTTGAAAACACACCAGTAGTTGTTATCTTAAATGTAGAAATTGTATTTTATATGGATATACATATGTGATTAGTAGTAGAGTACAACAAGTTTTAGGATAAAAACTTGATATGCTTAAAACAAATAGTTTTTTTTAAACATTATTATTTTAAATTATTATTTAGTTGTATTTTTATTTTTGTAGTGTAAGAGGAACCCACCTGTGCCCAATCTTTTCCCGATTACGTCCCAAGGCTTGTTCAGTATCATCCTGGCTTTCAAACTGAACAAATGCTTCCCCTGTAGCACGACCCCGTCTGTCCACAACGAATACAATGCCCTCCCGATCCGCTTTGATTTCCAACCCTGCCCAATGGTAATAATAATAACACAAGAATAATAACAACAACTTAAACATAAACCAACATTTTTTGTTTTGTTATGGTATTTTGGTGAAAGAAATAAATGTTTCTTTTTTGTAAAAAAAGTTATAAAATATAGATATTTGTTTACGTTTTTTTAATTTTCAATTCAGTTCTAACATTGCTGTTGAAGATCTGAATGAATTTCAAGTTGCAAGTTCTCAAGAGCAATACAACAACTAAAATTACCAACCAAAAAAAAAAATAACGAAGAAATTTGTTAGGAATATTATTTTTTAGTTATTTAAAATTACTTTTTTCAAATATTTCGGGGCAAGCCCTCTTAAATGTTTTGAGTTGCTCTTTTCTTGTTCTGTGTATCACAAATATGTGTAGCAGGGATACAGTTAAATATTCCCACCACCACCATTCATTAATTCATTCTTTGTGGTTCCCATTTCCTAAGAAGACGGGTAGTGATATATATTTTTGGCATGGTTATGGTAAGATCTTGCACCACACGCTTGGCCCAGAGCTTTGTATTACATTGTGTGATTGCTAAGATTATTGATTTGGAAATTGTGTTGCATTCACAACACAATACTTACAACAAGGAGATAACATGCATTTTGTATCTAATACTCAAATTTTAAATTAAAACAAAAAAGTATCATAGAAATCAGGTAGGAAAACAAATCAGGAAAACACGAGCTATACAACAAAACGTTTCCATTGCTGAGTCAACATTACAAAACTTACCGCTGAAAAACTCTTCAATTTGTTGTTCGGTTACAGAGTAAGGAAGTCCTCTTAGTTTCACAACATAGGAATTGCCATGATTGGTGGTTTTACGCATGGCTTCCTTGGCCTCAGAGGCTTCGGCATTGAAAACTGTGAGCCAACAAAAAAAAAAAAAGAAAACAAGTTAAACTTAGGTTCCTCTCCAATAGAATGTTGCTGCCACTTACCTTCAATGTAACGATGACCCATCGAGGCATTGTTCAATTTCAATGCTGCATTCACATCTTGCTGACTCTCAACTTCCACATAAGCCTCGCCGGTGTTTTTACCATCCCATCGGCTTGTTATCAAATGTATACCCTCAGCTCCACCAACAACAGTGACATCCTTTAGAAAATCTAAGATTTCTTTGTGTGTTGCCGACCACGGAAGACCACGTAGGCGTACATATTTCGGTCCATCTTCGCCATTATCATCACCATTCTCATCATTCTCCTCGTCATTTACATCATCTTGATCATTTTCATTTTGTGAGCCATTCTCCTCCTCTTCCTGTGAGCCTTCACATTGACTGTCGTCGTAGTTTTGGCTGTCATCATTTTGATTATCGTGATCGTTGGACATGTTTTGTTTTGGGAGTTTTGTTGTTTAATTAAAGGTTCTGAAATAAAAAAGAAGATCGATTGTTCAAAATCAAATAAAACATGATATAAAATAAATATCTAAGCGACCAAAGGCGCTTCTTCACTAGATAGCCCTCCTTGGACCGCATTCACATTTTCACCTCTGAGGTATTTGGCGCCGGCTACGCAAAACAGAGTTGAAAAAGGTTAAAACTTAAACTATAATTAACATCATGGTGGTCACCTTTTGGCCCATAAAGATTTTACATAAATTCTGGATGAAATAACGACTACAAGCAATCGTTTGAAAAGTCTGGGACGAATTTCTGTTAAAGCCCTACCAGAACGATTCGGGATATTAATTAGGTTGCCGTGGATTTTTAACGTTTTTGAAGGTCGTAGGTAAACTACAGGGTGTGATGAAAAAACTGCAACCAACCTCAGGCAGCTGTCATTCTTGAGTCAATCGTCCGACAGCTGTCAAAATTATTCCAGTGACAGCTCATTATATACTTTACAAGCATACAAAAACATTTTGGTGAGGATTTTCCAGAAAAAAAGGGGGTAAAGCCATTGAAATTCCAAAAAGTAAAGGAACATACACCGCAACAAAAAGAAAATAGACTCAAAAGAGCTAAAGTGTTGCTTCGCTTGGCCGAAAGTGGTGAACTGCCGAATTTGGTTTTCTCCGATGAGAGAACATTCGTTGTCCAGCAGTTTGTTAACAAACCAAATGATCGTGTTTACTTGCCAAAGAGGTCAGCTGAAAATGTACAGCTTCGGTTGGCCACCGGAACTCAAGCGCCGGCCATAGTGATGGTGTGGGCCGCCATGACAGCCGATGCTCGCTCTCCGCTCGTATTAATCGACCTTGGCGCCAGAATAAATGCCGGATATTATCGCGAAAATATTCTGGAGGGTGTATTAAAGTCTTGGTCATGCAAACGTGTTGGCCGCAGACCTTGGACATTCCAACAGGATTCAGCGCCATCGCACTCAGCACGCGCCACCCAAGAATGGTTACAAAATGAGGTTCCTCGCTTCATTTCCAGCGCACAGGGGCCATCAAATCTCCGGATACCAATCCGTTGGACTATTGTGTCTGGAGTATTTTGGATAACAAGGATGACACTAAAAAAATACGAAAGTGTCGATCAACTCAAGCAAGCTCTGGAAAGAGGCCAAAATACCGCAGAGCAACATTCGGGCAGCGTGTGACGGTTTCATTGGCCGTTTGAAGGCCATAATTCTTGCCAAAGGTGACCAATTCGAACGAATCTAAACTTATTCTAAATATATAATATAATAAAATTTAAAACAAAGCAATCCTTTGAAAAGCCTAGGACGACCTCCTGTTAAAAGGGATATTAGTTAGGTTGCCGTTATATTACATTTCCAAGCTCCCAAACTTTTCAGAAATTTTTTAAAAATTATATCAAAATGGCAGGTGTGTTTTGGCAAGTTGATTCTGTAGTGCTGTACCACCACCCTAAGCTTGGAAAAGAATACACATAAAAACACCCTTTGTTGGGCGGGGGGTGAAAATATTGTTGTAAATTTTCTGAAAAGTACAAACAATATTTGGCTTACAATTTACACAGCTCTAAATAGCTTTTAAAAAATGTGCAAGTAGGGGATGTGATTCATGAGGCAAATACAATTCCAGACACCACGAAAGAAGTCACCATTTATGGTTTATTATAGCCCTCTGTTCAAAAAGCAAACAACTATGTCAGGCAAGTACGTGATATCACACAACTTTCTAATGGCAAATACCTTACCTCAAACTAAAAGACAAATTTACGTCTTTTAGATTGAAATAAGAAATTTGTAGAACTTCTATTTATACCACCTCACTACCATTGAAGAAAATTGTAAAACACTACGTAAGCAGCAGGCATCTATTTTAAGAATATTTGCAATGGAGTTGTAAGGTGTTTTCGTTCTTGCATACATGAAATTTGTTGTTTTTCCAGACAACAATCTAACCTAACCAGCCGGTCCAAGGCAAACACTGCTAGTATGGCGACAACTTCATGTGTATCCATCATTTACTATACGAAAAAATGCACGCACATACACACACATATACACAAATTCTCTGCAGGCGTCATTTTGCCAAAAACCGGCAAATCACTGCATAACGGATAGAAAATAATAAAAAATTATTGTATTTTCCATCAATATATATAATAAATACGATACCATCAATAACTTATTAAACAAAAACAATGCTTTGAAGCAAAATTTCCTTCTCGAACCTTAAAAAAAGAAAATCACCAAGCACGCTAACCCACCAAAGCCGATGATGATGACGCCGCCATTTTGCTTTTTCTTTTGTGGTGTCGAAAAAAAGTGAGTGGCCTTGTTTCTACCTTTTTTCGCACAACATCAAATACACAATTTTTTTCGGCACTTTCTTTGCAGCTTCAAAGCAATTTTAAATGGAAAATTTCACAAGAAATACATTACTTACCTACTTGTAATGTAAATTTTCCGGAAAATTAAAGCCGGTGTTTGTTTTTGATAACTTTTTTTTGGAATATTTAATTTTTCTCTTCTTTCACCCGAAGAAATTTCCTGGCTCCGCTTTTGACTTTACTTTTTGACGTACAATGAAATAATAAATGAAATGTCGAAAGGTTTCTATGATATTAAAATCGAAAATCGATTACAAAAAGTCGATTGCGATTTTACACTTTTCAACAATCGATTAATCGAAAAATCAAAACATGTGATCCTCTCAATCAAGTCCCCAACAAAAACATCAAAATTAGATGTGTTTAGTAATATTTAACCACGTTTACACTTAACCACATTTTCTTATGGAATGAATGAGACTTGTTTTCAAGAAATAAAACAATTTTTTATTAGCACACTTAATAATGATAGACATTATATTAATGAATATTGAACCCTTAAACATAAATTTCAAATTTAGAGTTGTTATTTATTCGACATATAATCTATGGAAAAATTAACATCTAAATAACGCTTTTTATCAGAACAGGTTCGGTTTAATATGGCTCATGGTAGAAGAATATAGGTAGACGCATCGACGCAGCTGCTGGGACAATGAACTGTCAAACCAATTTTGGAATTGAAAATGTTGAATGAAAAGTTATTTAAATTTGTAAAAATCGTTGAAAAACACGCATTATAATAACCTCCAAACGACGTTGTATTAGAAAACATATAAAAATCTACTTACATTTGAAAAGAAACTAAAATAATTTTGACATATCAATGCTCCCAAGCGTTGATGCATATACCTGTATTTTTCTACCATGATATGGCTTAACCATGGTATAAGAATACAGGTAGTCGCATCGATACAGCTGCTGGCACAATGAACTGTCAAACCGACTTTGGAATTAAAAATGTTGAATGAAAAATTAATAAAATTTGTAAAAATTTGTTAAAAATCAATATTATAACAACCTCTAATTTGCGTCGTATAAAAAAAAACATTTAAAAATTCACTTATTTTTTATAAAACATTTTAAAAATTTTGACATATCAATGTTCCAAAGCGGGTGAGATGAAAAAACTGCAACCAACTTCAGACTGTTGTCATCTCTAAGCCACTCGTCCGACAGCTGTTAAAATTATTCCAGTTGTTAAAATTATTGTACAAGCGTACAAAAGCATTTTGATGGGAAAAAGTTATTCGTGATGGAATTCAACAGTGATAGTGTATTTTTTTATATTTGGCAGGAAAACCACAAGTGGCTATCGTTAGAGCACTCCAACATTTAAATGTGAATAAATCTTTTGTGTCTCGTATCATCTCTCGTTACCGTGATAGCCCGACGTCAAGTAAGTGGACGGAAGAAACCAGCAATACCAGCACAAATGGTTCGAAAAGTAAAGATCGAAACCCCCGTGGCTGTGGCCGAAAAATGGCTCGTGAGCTGAACATATCGCAATATTCCATTCGGCAAATATTGAAAAATGAGCTCGGGGTAAAAATTGCAAAAACTTACACCGCAACAGAAAGAAAATAGAAAAAGATCTAATGAGTTGCTTCGAGAGTGGGGAACGGCCGAATTTGGTTTTCTCCGATGAAAAAACTGTCGTTGTTCAGCAGTTTGTAAACAAACAAAATGATCGTGTCACCCAATCGTGTCCTTTCGTATTAATCGACTGTGGCATCAGAATAAATGCCGAATATTACCGCGAAAATATTTTGGAGGGTGTATTAAAGCCTTGGGCACGCAAATATGGCCTCAGACCTTGGACATTCCAACAGGACTCAGCCTGCGCCACCCAAGAATGGTTACAAAATGAGTTTCCCCGCTTCATTTCCAGCGCACAATGTCCACCAAAATCTCCGGATACCAGAAGAGAAGAACTTCTAAAGTGTCGATCACCCAAGTAAGCGTTTCGCAGGGAATGGGCCAAAATACAGCAAAGCAACATTCGGGTAGCGTGAGACGGTTTCATTGGCCGTTTGAACGCCATAATTCGTGCCAAAGGTGACCAATTGGAACAAATCTAAACTTATTCTTAAATTTGATGCTATTTCCCACATTTATTGTAATCATTCAGGAAAAATATATGTATATGAAAAAAATGCTCTTTTCTAGGCGCCCGATGACAATTTGAAGCGAAAACGTATATAGTAAATCTTTTTATTTAAAGATAGTGCAAGGCGGTTATGAAATTGTTACCTAATCTTTGGAATTACATTTTCATTTAAATTTTAGCATAGCGTCCATGCAAAGATTCGTCCAGCTCGATCCAAAAATGCGGCTTAGATTCGGTGTTTTATAGAGTATAATAGTAATATAGTGTTTTGAAATTGTATTGAAAGATTAATATTCAAATTTTTCATCCTAAGTTAAAAAGGCCTAGGGGCTCCATGTTTATTATGATAATCATTCTAGTTTTAGTTTTCTAAGACTACATGTATCACCTACCTAATTTATGTTAAAGGATGATAAGAATACATTCCTTAGGTCATGAGCAGGTCGACAACTGAGGTCTAACAAACATTTGTTTCTATGCCCTTATTCAAGCCCAAAATAATTTGGAATGCCAACTTTGAAAAATTTCCAGTCTTTTTTCTCTTTATTTCTCTGCCATAGCATTGGCAATGCTAACCATTTTTCGTACAGTATTTCTATCACAAATATCATAGGGCAGTACATCTTGTTTGCCCATACTGACATCACATTCCATTTTTGTGGCATTTCCATCTGTTGAATCTGGTACATCTATGCATGCACTTACTGTCGCAGAGCCATGGAACTCCGTGCACTTTGTTGCTGTTAGAATTTCTTCCAAATTTGATATGTTTATACCAGCCCCAGGCATAATAATTATATCTCTATGATGTCGGGCAATTAGTTGGGCTAGATTATCAACTCCATCGAGGGCATTTTGACGAAAACCACTACTCAATATCCTTTGAAATCCCAATTCTATAATTGCTTTGGTTGTCTCGTGCATTTTGGCCGGATCTGTAACATCAAATGCTCTGTGGAATGTCATCGGTAGACTTTTGGCCTTCTCCAATACTTGTTGGCATTGTTCGACATTAACTTCACGTGACGGTGTCAACGAACCAAATACAAAACCATCGGCACCATTCTCTTGCAACAGTTCCATATCATGGAGTAATGCTGTCATTTCATAATCTGTATATATGAAGTCATTACCGCGACGTGGTCTCAGCATGCAGTAAATGGGTATAGTAAGGGGAAGACTTTTAAGAGTTTTTAATACTCCCACCGAAGGAGTTAGGCCACCCTCGCTTAGGGCTGAACAAAGTTCAATACGTGCTGCTCCACCTTCCATGGCTGCAATGGCCGAGGCAATTGAGTCCACACACACCTCGAGTTTAATGTCATGATTTGGGCTCATAGTTTTTTACTGTTAGGGGTGGATTATAATACTGAGGATTTAGATTTAATGTAATTTTTCTCTGGATAAATGAAAAATTGGTTGCCGGTGTAAATAAAATTGATGTATATGTCGATATTTCAATTAATCGGTCTGTATATTTGCTACAATAATCGATTTATTGTCATATTCCGACTATTGTCATGCTCCCACCAACGCTGTTCTCTCTCATTTGTCTCATAGACGCTAAAGTAAAAAGGCATTACAATATTGCTTTTATAGAAGCAAATCACATAAAGCTTCTCCAAGAGAAATATTGTACCAAAAAATCTGACTGTTTTCATTAAAATATTTCCTGTATGACTTCGAAGTTAAAAAAAAGCTATGCAGTGAGACAATGGAAATATTAAATCGACTGTAAAATATCGATTGTTCGATATTCCAGCCATTCAATGCGAAAACCGATACTCGACCTACATGCACCAATCTCTTTCTGCACATTTTTTAGTATAGAATAAAAAAATTAATTGTATTTTGAAATTCTCCCATATTATTAGTTAATAACAATAAATAGCATTCAAAATGGCCGACATTAATGGTACTGAGGATGAGGTGCAAGACAAGAAACAGAAAAAACAAACCAAACACGATGGAGGTGCTGCCGATCTAGAACGTGTTACCGACTATGCTGAAGAAAAGGAAATCTCCACGGCCAATATATCCAGTGCGGTCGAGCAGTTTGGTAATCAACGCCAAAAAGAAGATGAACTGCGAGTGGCCAAGGAAATGGAACTGCAAAAGATTCAAGTGAAAAAAGAGGATATAGAACTTATTGTGAGTAGAAAATAAAAGCGTTAATAGTGGGTGATTCACATTAACTTATGACCATATGTGTTTTGTTTCCACACACAGATGAATGAAATGTTAATTAGCAAATTACAAGCTGAGAAAGTCCTGCGTGAACAAAGAGGAGATGTCGTAGCTGCTCTGGAAGCCATTATAGCTAATTAGATGTGTTGTTCTAACGCTCATAAGTTCTACTTGTTTTCTTTTCTAAGTTTTCAATAAACCATTTTTAGGTACAATCTAGTTGATGTTGTGATTTCATGGAAGGAAGAACCAATAGCTGTCTTTATAAAATCGAATTGAACAGTTTTGTATCACTTGATCCTTTGTCTACTGTGATATCATGGAAAATAAGTATTGAGGAATTGAAGAAAATGTTCACAACGAGACTTTCGAAGAAAAGAGCCAAACGGTTATATATAAATTACAAAATCCAAACCATTCTATCTCTAATAACATCGTCTTTTGGTTGTATCAAAATTTGTCACGTGAAATACCCCTCTTCTATGTCTTCTGGGAGGACTTTTGATCATCCATAGGGAGAGGTCTGATTATATACAGCCATCAGCTAGTCTCAAATACTACTGTCTGATTCTTTATAATGAAAACCCCAGAGGTTATCTTATAAATACTTATTCTGCTTATTTAAACAGGTTCCATTTTTAAATACTACTCTTTGGGTGTGCATAAGTTTTGTCCATCAATATCCTTAAACATCGTATATTAGTGGCTCCCTTTTCTTCTAGTCGTCCATAACGATTTCATTCGAGACTTCTACATACTGTCTCCTGATTATTAAACAAATATTCTTGCTATCTCTTGAAACTTTCTTGTACCGGGTGAGATAAAAAAACTGCAACAAAGGCAAACCCCATAATTTCTACATTTTTTTTTTCAATTTAATGAAAGCAAAGCAAAAATGTCGGAAATATCATCAAATTTTAGAATGAGTTTAGATTTGTTCGAATTGGTCACCTTTGGCATGAATTATGGCCAATGAAACCGTCACACGCTACCCGAATGTTGCTCTGCGTTATTTTGGCACTTTCCCGGAGAAACGCTTGCTTGAATGACACTTTGGTCTTTTTTAGTGCCATCCTTGCTTTCCAAAGTACCCAGACACAATAGTCCAACGGATTGGTATCCGTAGATTTTGGGGGCCATTGTGCGCGGGAAAAGAAGCGAGGAATCTCATTTTGGGTGGAACCTGCTGAGTCCTGTTGGAATGTCCAAGGTCTGCGGCCAAAATGTTTGGTGCTTAATATACCCTCCAGAATATTTTCGCAATAATATTCGGCATTTATTCTGATGCCACGGTCGATTAATACAAGCGGAGAGCGACCATCGGCTGTTATGGAGCCAAACACCATCACCATGGCCGGCGCTTGAGTTCTGATGGCCAATCGAAGGTGCACTTTTTCAGCTGACCTCTTTGGCAAGTAAACACGATCATTTTGTTTGTTTACAAACGCCTGGACAACGAATACTTTCTCATCGCAGAAAACCAAATTCGGCAGTTCACTACTTTCGGCCAAGCGAAGCAACTCTTTAGCTCTATTGAGTCTAGTTTCTGTTGCGGTGTAAATTCTTGCACTTTTTGGAATTTCGATGGCTTTACCCCGAGCTCATTTTTCAATATTTGCCGAAATGGAATATTGCGATATGTTCAGCTCAAGAGCCATTTTTCGGCCATTGCGACGCGGATTTCGATCCAGTCGCTTCTTTACTTTTCGAACCATTTCTGCTGATGTTGCTGTTTACTTCCGTCCACTTACTTGACGTCGGGCTATCACGGTAACGAGCGATGGTACGAGACACAAAAGATTTATTCACATTCAAATGCTGGGGTGCTCTAACGATAGGCACTTTTGGTTTTCCAGTCAAATATAAAGAAATCACGCTATCACGCTTGAATTCCATCAGGAATAAGTTTTTTTTCTGAAAAATTCTCACCAAAATACTTTTGTACCCTTGTAAACAATATAATGGGCTGTCACTGGAATAATTTTAACAGCTGTCGCACGAGTGACTTATATATATGATATATTTTGTACCTATCTCTTGAGATTCCCTTGTGTTCACCGATAACCCTCATTAATGTCTACAGGTCTTGCCTTGTGACTTTTTTCATAATCGAAAAACCTTGTTCTATTCTCATTATAGGTATGTCGTAAATTCCATCATTTTATTGACAATGCAAATAACTTATTAATATGTTTCTTTGTTGTTGTTGTTGCTGTTTTGTATGCACTATATGTATGTTTGTATGTGAAATCAATTTTCATTCTCAATTTTTTACTTATAAAATACAACACTTTCACGTACAATCCATTAAATTGAACTACAATTATAATTTAAATCCTTTCCTTGGTGATGTCATTTTCATCATCATATCTATAGAAATCCACTCAACAAAAAAGGAGGGATAAACAAAAAAAAGTATTTTTAAAACAATAAAATATTCCACCAGAATTGGGTTTGGTTTCTTTTTTTTTTTTTGGGTGCAGAATAGAGGAAGTGAAGTTAGTGGATGGGAGAATGGGGTGCTTGGTTTTGTGGGTGGTATATTAGGTGGTATTTTCAAAAGAAAAAAAGTTAAAAACAAAATCAATTTTTTGTATCGTTTTTTGTTTCTCTCTCTAGTAATAGTGCTTAACTGGCTTAAACTATGTATTCAAATACTTTTGCAGATTTTCACACGAGGGCATATTAATGTTCTGGGCCTTGCGGAACAAGTCACGGTCACCAAAACTACGCGCTTTAGCTAACATTGAATCACCTGGAATGGGAAAAATAGGGTTTTAATAAATTTCCTTCTTATAAATCTCGTTATCCCTTTGTTTTAAATACTTACGATAATTTCTTTCTCGACTGCATGATAGTTTCAAATGATTTATAAAATCTTCCTCCACCGATTCCTCTAGTCGTCCCACCGAGCCTTGATATTCCGAATAGAAGTTGTCCTTAACATAATAGGGTATCTTCAACGAATTGGTTTCACGTTTTACCGAATATTTGCTGAAATAAAATAGAGAAAAATATAGTTAAAGAAGAAGTACAAATGATGAATAACTTCCTCGCCTAGGAAGACTGCCTCCTGCTTATCTACAAAGACTGGTCCCTCCCTCCCTGGTCATCTATAGTTTCCCTTCATCTCGTCTAAAAAGACCCCCTCAGGCTCGCCTATAAATCCTTCGACTTATCTTTAAAATCTCCTTAAGCTCGACTATAGTCTCCAAACAATCCGTCTACAAAGTCTCCAATCAGCTCATATATAAAGACTGCCCACAGCTCGTCTAGAAAGGTTTCTTTTAGATCGCCTATAAGGACTCTCTTAAAATCGTTTTTAAATTCTCCCTTCAGCTCATCTATAAAAAAACTCTCTTTGGTTCTACTCGTCTATAAAAAATTACTTTCTGTCCAGCTCGTCTATAAGACTAGCTTTAGCTCATCGGAGAAGACTTGCTTCAACTGGTCTAGAAAGACTGCACTCTATTCGTCTAGAAAGACTCCCTATAGTTCGTCTAGGAAGACTCCCTATAGTTCGTTTACAAAGACTCCTTATAGTTCGTCTAGAAAGACTCCCTATAGTTTGTCTAGAAAGACTCCCTATAGTTCGTCTAGAAAGACTCCTCATAGTTCGTCTAGAAAGACTCCTCATAGTTCGTCTAGAAAGACTCCCTATAGTTCGTCTAGGGGATGTAATGTCTCTAGGGGGGTTGACCACACTGAATACTGCAGGCTTTGTCAGGACGAGGAAGAAACTGAGACGGTGAAGCACTTACTCTGCCACTGCCCAACTCTTATAAGAGTGGGAGAGAGGCTACTGGGTAAGCAAATTATGCTAGACTTGCCCTCCATCTCCGACATCGAGCCAGCAGTCATTCTTCAGTTAGCCAGAAGACTAGAATGGGTAAGGACGACACGTTGATACACCGTGGATGCAAACCTACTTCCCTACTATTTATTCAGATTCTCACTTCTTCACTTCGTTTCCTTTTCTCTATTTTATTCTCCCATCCTCTTAATTAGGATGAACACAATTAACCAAAATGTCTTCGAGTGGAGTGGTTGTTTATACAACCGCGCATCCTTTAAAGACCCCATTCTAGTCATCTACAGGGCTTCCTTCTTGTCTTATATCCACACTTCCACTTTGTGTTCAATTCATATTCAATTACATGATGTTGACCACCATCCTTGCTTATTTGTTGCTAAAATTTCTACTTACTGTGATGGTGACAAGCTATATATTGGATCCGAAATAAAGAATGACGACATCATTGATAGGCCAATCAAAACCAATATGGGTAATAGATTAATCAAGGCCGATGATGAAGATTGATTCTGAAATGAAAAGAATACAAAATTCAGTCGTCTTCCCTCTATAATTATTTTCAAATGCGAACATACCTCTCGTTCCTCCCTTTGTTGACGTCTTCGATTTGATCTCATATAGACATTTTGTTGTGGAAAACCCGAACCGAAAAACATATTGAATATCTCCTCAGCGCTGACATCAGCTTGGAAACCACGAGCATAGCCAAAATCACTGGTATAATAACCGTTACGCATGCCACCGTTGCCGCCACCTCCACCACCGCTATGCGACTCATTAATGCCATATAAATCGTATTGTTTACGTTTCTCCGGATCTGTTAGAATGGCAGCCGCATTCCCCACGGCCTTAAAAGCTTCCACAGCACCGGGAGCACGATTTTTATCCGGATGTAATTGTAAGGCAAGTTTCTTGTAGGCTTTCTTAATTTCCGAATCTGTAGAGGTCTTGGTAACACCTAGAATTTCATAATAATCTTTGCATTTCTTAACTTTTCGTACAGCTTCCATTTGTTCGGCGGTGTAGTCGGGTTCAGCATTTCGTGAATCGGAATTTTTACGTTTACGTACGCCATCGGTTTCACTATCGCGTTGTGATGAGGATCCAGCCGATGAGCCGCCATTCGAGGGAAAACTTTTCACTTTGTTAAGGAGAACTGAAAATAAGCAGAGGACATTGCATTAGAGTAAAAATTTGAAGAGATGATAGGTTTATTAGAGATCTAGACAACGATAATTTGAAAACAATTGTTATTTTGTTTGAGAGAAGCTGATAAAAACGGATATTTTCATTGTTTTTCTGACACTGGACATAAATTCAGTTTTTCTCTTTGATGGATATAAAACTGGAAAGGATTATCCGAAAATTGTTTCACACTTTATACCTGAGGTTCATGTCCTACTTTTTCAATTTTTTCACAATACTGACCAACTTAGTTGGAAAAATTGCAGGCCAAAACTGTAATACTGCTGTACGAATATGTTTTTGGAGAATATTTTTTTATATATCTTCAAATCACTGCATATTCTGCGAATTCTTGACTCGAAATTAACTACCTTGATATATTTTCTGGGTGTCACTATAACCTCAACCCAATTTGCAACTTTTGGAAAATTTAATATTGATCTACTGTCGATTAAACAAAAGACGAAGTATTCACACATACTACAAGCACACATAATTCACACACCACATGCCTAACAATACTTTATCTCAAATTGCCTTTTAAGGCCAGATATGATTGTAGATCTTAAACGGTTCTATGTTTATCTTATTTGAATAGGCAAGCAATTATTGTTGTTTTTGGCTTAATACCATTTGTTTACTTTTTGACGAATAACACAAAATCGTTCTTCATCGGCTATATTTATTTTTGGACTACGAACTTTTGTAAGCCAATGAATTAATTTAATACTACTTTCACTTACCTTTGGCCTTTTCCGTGGGGAACAGCTTCTCAGCTTTCAATAAGAATTTTTCGGCTTTTTCCAATTTACCTTCGGTTAGCGCTTGCACAGCAATATCAATGCATCGCATTGCTTCATCTTTGTTACCCTCTATGACCGTCATTTTTGTGTGTGTGTCCGTGGGGGTTTTTAATCCGGATATTTGTCTTTATTCCACGTAATTATTGTATCTGTTTTGTTAATTAATTTTTATATGTGTTTTACTAAAATATTCAAATGGACATAGACGAGTACGGGTGTGTGTGTGTCGTATTAAATGTTGACTTACGACGTCACACACAGAGCACACACCGAAAAAATTGCACTGGCCAAAAGCAAAAATATACTATAAATGGTACGTGCCTGCTGCTAAATGTTTCGGCAATCTTCCTCTTTCTCACCTACACGTCCGTCGTCGACGTCGTCCCAACAACAACCGTCGTAATGTAATAATAAATAGACCCCCAATAAAAAAAGTTTTAGTTTTTATTGGGTCAGGGGTTTCATGCACAAGCGAGACTTTTCCAAAATCTACGCTGGCTGAAATGCAAAGTAAACATGGTTAACACAATGTTTCCCTTTAACTTTAATGATTTTCTCGCTTTACCTTAGTATGTTTTATAGTTTAACACCTTCGACAATAATTTATTTTACGTTTTTTCACTAAAACCACATCATATTAACCCTCTTATTAGATTTTTTACGACGACCACAGATGACAAATCGAATTAGAAGCAGTTATCGTTCTCTGCAAATATCGATTACCGATATGTGAGGGAATTGTCATATTTGTGGGATAAAGTGGCTTGGCGACATATTGAAGTAATATGGCAAAACGAAACAACAGTTGGTGTGTTTCTTTTTCTTGTCTTTTTTCGTTTGGTGCCCTTATTCTGTCAAAACATATATACATTTTGGTATGCGTGTGTATTGTTTTGAATAAAAAATACAATAATTTGAAATTGTTTTAATTTCAGTTGCTAAGTTAATGCTTACTTTCGACGTCATATAGTACAATATTGGGATAAAAGTACGTTTATATAAATGAAGGTTAACCCACTGGATTTTGATTTAAATTGTCATATCCATTACTTTTACTTCAAATAAATCCTCTTAAAGTAGGTTAACCCTACAAAAAGTTCTAACTAAAACATGGCATAAAACTGTATTGTCCTACTAGTTTAGATTAACTCTTGGGGAATAACCACAAAATTCCATTCTCGTTTCGCGGGTTTCCCAATGTAAGAATTTTGTTAAAAATTAAAAATAAATATGAATAAATAAATTTAACACTATAAAACTCCAGCACAGAGTTGCATTTTCCTAGTTTCTTTAAAGTTAAGCAACCTTTCTTATTGAGCCATGAATACAGGTAGGTGCATCAGCGCTTGGGAACATTGATATGTCAAAACAGAATTTAAATAGAGGCATCGGCACAGCTGCTGGGATAATAAACTGTCAAACCAATTGAAATTATGAATGAAAAATTATTTAAATATACAAAAATTGTTGAAAAACGCGAATTATAATAACCTTCAACGTTATTTAGGAAAACATATACATATCTACTTATATTTGAAACAACATTAAAAATTTTTAACATATCAATGTTCTCAAGCCTTGATTCGTCAACCTGTACTCTTCTACCACAATGAAAACCACTTAATATGGTACGTGTTAACGTTTAGAATGCTATATGATAAAATAGGTCTACGACAGAGTTGCGTTTTTCCTATTCAGTCTTCTTATGAACTTATGCAAGACAAACAAGTTACAAAACGATCGGTTGGTACAACATGCCAAAAATCAAAAAATTTATAATTGTTTCGTACACCCGAGACAAAACTCTATATATCATATTAATATTTCCAAAGTATATATAAAGCTAGTTTTCACATTACATATTTTTTTTTGCTTTTTACATTAAAAATGCAAAATGATGTAAATGTCGTTTATTTTATTAAAAATTTCCTTTCTTGTAAATCAATAAAGCCATATTTACGTTTAGGCTTTTTAATAATCCTTGTATATATGTTTGCCAAATGCCTTACGCTCTCATTACCGTCTCACACTTGTATTATCACACACTGTCAAACGTCTCATAAACGCCGTCAAATTTCAGTGTGGCTCGGTTCTCTGGTCGAAACCAGTGTTTTTTGCGGAGTTTTCTTGATAAAATTATTAAATATCTTGAAAATCTGTGGAAAATAACTCGAAAATATCAAATCGTTTAGATAATAAGAACTCTGTTGACATTGTGAAAAGCTTCCGGTAAAAGTGTGACACCAAGATCAAAGAAAAAGCACAAATCAATAAAGTCTGTAACGAGACTGTAACAAAACCTAGACAGAAAACAACAAAAACACAGTAAAAACGTTGTTTTTCTTCGTGTGTGTGCAAGTTTAGTGCGAAAATGGCGACAATAAGCCAATAAGAAAGAAAATAAAAAATAAAATCGAATTTGAAATAATTTTACAGTAAATAACCCGAGTATTTTTAGTTTGTGAAGAATAGACAAATATATTTTAACAATTAAAATATTTTAGACATCGCTGTTTAAGGGATTGTAGCAGACCAAGTAGTAGTACCACATAGACAGCATAAGGTAAGAATCACAAAAAACAGACAACGGTGTCAACGTGGTGTGGTTTTGACGCCGTCGCCGTTGCATTGATAATTGTTTTTATTATTTTTCGACGATGAGTGTTCCCTGTTAAAGGGATACTTCTTTAACTCAGATCATTTGTAATTATGTGGAAATAGGTTTATGGAATTTTATGATTAGACAAGGAATGTGTAAAATCTATTGTGGGCTAGTTTTTTGTTTTAAAAGGGCGAGGTGGTGATTATGTTGCAACCAAACCGGCTTTGTTTTTTGCCTTGCTTTGCGCTGATGCCTGGCAAATGAAAACAAACAAGTTTTTTTCAAGAGCCGCCTGCCTTTAGGGTTTCATTGTTTTTTTTTTAAATATATCAATGTAAGAGTGTTTACGACTTTATTTATTTAAGATAATACTTAATACTTTCCTTCTCCAGTGGAGCAATTGAAAAATCATATAGCCCAAAGGTTTTACCGTGGGTGATTTGACCAAATTATTTTTTGTCCATCCATGGTTTTTCTCGGAGTTCAACTATTAAGTTTATTTTATGTGCTTTAAAGTTCCTAGGAGGCACTTTACAGCCATTCACATGAAGATTATTATATTATAATAATATTATAATAGAGGCAAACATTGAATCTAAATCTATTCAAAGTAAATCGTCAAATCTTTGGCTATATCAAAAAAGCTGCTGGGAGTATTAAATGATTCCCAATCGGAGTTTACTTGGGACTCCTTACCTATCCATCTCTGCTTTTCAAGATCAAAATCATGCAGATCCTTCCCAACATACCTAGATGGTGGAGTTCCATGATTATATTTTTCCTAGGTTATCTTTTGAATTTCAAAACCCTATTACATGCCACGCATCCCAATTCAAATTGCTCGTTCAGGTACTATAATATCAAATTTTTTTATTCAATACTAAATCTAATTTTATATCACACTAGCTGGCCCGGTCCGCGTTGCCGGCCCGTAGTTTTAGTATTTAATGCAAATTTTGCATAGCATAATATTTCACAAATCTAGCTCATAAAGGTGAACAAATTTTAATATAAATATTGATTCGACTAAATAGAAATAAATAACTATGGAAGGAGGGCAAAATAATTTCTGAATAGTCAAAGTTAATAAAGCTTTTACACCCATTGCCATAGCACTTCAAATTGCGCATTAGAGTCCCAAAAAGTCTATGTTCTTGTTCATAGTAAAATTCATTGACGATTAAACAATACCCGCGTTGTTGTCCGCCAATCGATAAACATCGCTATAGATCGGCGGGCCTGGGGACTATATGGGGACTGTACCAAAATATTTACGTATGTTGACATTTTTCTGTAAGATGATTCTCTACTCACAAAGTAGCCTATATACAGCAAATAATGGCCAAATCAGTTGAAAAACGTGGCTAAGACCACGGTCACAGCTGAAATCAGGGATACATTTATATAAGGGTTATACCAAAACGTGGCCCAACCAATATTCTCTTGGGGGTTACACATTCAATAGAAAACAAAATTTTATTTTCTGACCACCAATTAGATGTGAAAGTGGACTTGGGGATACTCCAATGTGGGGACTTTACTTAAATAAATTCCTATGTGGCAATTATCTGTATGATGGTTACCTAACCCAGAGTAGCATAAATACAATTTTTAGCCAAATCAATTAATGAATGTGGTCAAGACCAAAATGGGCCCTACTCTGAAAATTTTAAACTTTATGCGAAGAGGTTCTCTACCTCCTTAGAAACAAAGATGCCAAATAATGGCCAAAATATTTAAAAAGTGACCAAGACACTAAAAATAGCTTAAATCATACGATGGTTATATAAATATGAAATCGGGTTGTACCCTTATCCGTAAATTATGATCGATATCATGACCTGCAAAAGCGATTTAAGGTATCTTGAATGTTTGGGAAGATTTTCTTTTACTTTTTTTTTACTTTTTTTACTAAGAGTCCCATTCGCTCTACTATTTTCCACCCTTTATATTTGGTATTTTTATGATTGTACATTGGACGGATTATTGTGACAGGAAAGAAGTAGTTCCACGCTTTGAAATGAGCCCCATTAGGCTTTTTCGGTAATTTTTTTTTTGTTCAAAAGTGTTCGCATCTTCCAGCTGAACCACGATGTCGGCCCTGGAGTTGAAAAGTAGATGTCAGTTAACATCGTATTTCCCACTTATTTCATTTTTTGGTGAAAATTTGTATATAGTGAAAAATTATTCTTTATTTTGTTCACAAAAAATCTACTGAATTGAATTAGATAATACAAATTGAAAGAAAATTGACAAAAGAAGAATAACACATTGAAAAAATCTTCAACTTGTTCACTGATTTTTTACAGCAAATGTTTAAAGATACGTATATAGTTTGTCAATAGAATGTACTTCTATTTTAAAATACGATTCCATTAAATTATTTCGACATCTATTCTATTCCGTTTCGCCACCATATAATTCGGTACTACACTTCCATGTAACTCGCCATCAATTTCATTTCTCAAGAAATCAAGTCAATTAAAAAAAATGGTATTAATATTTGAATTCAAAAATAAAATATAAAAAACACTACAAATGTACATTAGAAAAAAGTAAGCCAAAATGGAAAAAAATCATGCAAAATAAAACATTGCTATTGTACATTTGAAAAGTCAAAATGAAAATGTTAATATATCACATTTTTACGCGATTTTTTTGGATATTATCCTTTTCGGAGAGGAGACAATTCCGAATTTGTATGAGTCGTTAAAATCAGTCCAGCGGTTCTTAAGTTATAAGCGTAGTAACTAACACAACTTTCTTTTATATATATAGATTTGTTTTTTGTTTCTTGGCTAAGGTAACGGGCACACCACCCTTTGGCATAATGGGTAAACCGAAATTGTCAAATTCAATTTCCGGCGCCGAGGGATCAACTTTGACTTCAAAATGTTGCAGAATTTGGGCAACACCAACCTTGACATTCAACTTGCCCATGCGTTGAGCTGGAATTGTAAAATCAATGATAGTGAGAAAAGAAAAATTCCAGCAAAAAAACTTGATTACATACCTATGCAATGTCTCGGTCCCTCACCGAATGGCATATAGGCGGCGGCATTATAATTTTCTTTCTCAAACCGATATGGGTCATAACGTAAAGCATCGGGGAAATATTCCTCATCACGATGTATACCAAACAATGAAATAATAATGGGTGTACCCTTTTTGACCACCAACTCAGAATCGGGTAAAGGATAATCTTTGGTACACTCCCTATTCAGTATGGGTAGACCGGGATATTTTCTTGTCGTTTCCATAACGCATAAATCTAAAAATTTCATATCCTTCAATGAATCGTAGCTCAAGGAGCCATGTTTTGCCAAAGCCTGTTCCACATCTTCTTGGGCTTTTTCCAAGAGCTCGGCATTGCGTGCCAATTCATAGATGGTAAATGCGGCCGTGGCAGCTGATGTCTCAAAACCGGCCACATAAAACAAAAACAATTGGGCTGCTATCAATTCAATGGACATGCTGGCAAGGGCATCTGGAAAGAGAAGATAAAGAAATTATTTTATGTTTGTTTTTATTTTTATTTTTTTTTAAGTTGATTTTGGCTAATCCGCTTGCTTGCCTACCCTTTGTTTTTACCGCCGACCAGCCTTCATCTTCATCACCATTGATTTTTCCCGTATTTCTTAGCTGCAACAACAACTGCAACATATCTTTGCGCACAATATTGTGCTTTTCACGTTTCTCAATGGTTTGTCGCACAATTTTCTTCATATAATCCGGAGCCGGTTCGGTCCAACCCAAACGTTGAAAGATTTTCTCCAAACTGGAAAGAAAAATAAGAGAAACAAAATATTTAAAAGAACTTGTTTAGGATTTGGTTACGCAAAAGGATTCAGGGAGGATTTTATTCACATCCTAAGGGGAAGTTGATTAAGTTGACAACGGTAGGGATCGAACTAAAGGTCAAATGGCAAATAACAATAAATTCAGTCATATTTATACTTAGTTGCACAGTTGTGGGAAAGTTTCCTGGTTTTGCAAAGAAGAAAGATATTGCATATAAATATGTTATCTTCTGGGAAACTTTGGCATATTTTTCGATATATTTCTAGAAATCGTTTAAAAAATTTGTAAAATACACTTTGCCCTAAAAGAAAACCATAAGCTATTATTAAAACCATACACCTTTTAATATTCTTTGAGAAAATAAAAAAGTAGGGATTTTTTTCATGCGTGGAAATTTGGCAATGTTTTTTGGTATATTGAAAAAAAAAAAACCAAAATCTTTAAAAATATACAAATAAACAACAAAAAGTGCAGAAAAACTCTCAAAGATTTTTAAAAAAATTGGTAATTTTTTTTAAAGTTATAATTTGCGCTTTAAAATAATAAATATAATTGGAAATTTTAATACAAAAAAAGTTTCCAAATTGCTGGCCTTTGTTACCCTTAGATATGCCTGAAAAGTGTATAACCAACATATCTTTACATTTAAGAATTTTTGGGCATTTTTGAAAAAATACCCAAGTTCGTAAAATCGCATTTTTTAATAAAATAACTTAAGATTAAGAAAGTCACGAAAATTTGTAAACCAAACATAAAATTCAAAAATCTCCAAATCTGTACGGAGTTTTATTTACAAAATTATGAAAAAATTAAATTAAATAGAAATGAGCCGGAAAAAAACAAGATATTGAAATGACTTCTATTAAAGACTTTTGGAGATTCCTAAGTTCCCTACAGTAAAAACAAAAATTCACCCACGAAAATTGGTTAAGAAATCATATTTTATTTATCTGGAAAACTTGGTCATTCTGGTAATTTTCCAAAAATGTCCAAAATTCTCAAACACATTTTTTCCATAAAGAGATAGATAGTTTCCGAAAACTACGCAAGAAAATATACTAATATAATCTAATATATTTTTCCATTTGGCAACTTTGGTCGTTTTTGGGTATTTTTGAAAAAAATGTCCAAATTTGCCAAAATTTTATTTTTCCAAAAATTGTTAGTTTTGTAAGTAAATGAAAATGGGTCGGAACCAGTTAAGGAACAAGAAACAAATGTCCAAAATTTCCAAAATTATGTTTCCCCAAATTTTGGTCGTTTTTGGGTATTTTAAAAAAAATGTCCAAATTTCCCAAAATTATATTTTTCCAAAAGTTGGTATTTTTATAAGTAAATGGAAATGTGTCGGAACAAGTTTGGGAACAAGGAAAAATGTCCAAATTTTCCAAAATTATATTTCCCCACTTTGCAAAAAAAAAAAAATAATAATAATAATAATAAATAAATAAAATTACTATTATATTAAAAAAGGGCCATTAATCGGTGAAAAAATTATTAAAATTCCCTCCCTACCAGCAGTTTTAAGGAAATTGGTCCGTTTTTTGGTATCTTTGAAAAAATGGCCCAAAATTCCCAACTTGATATTTTCCAAAAGTTATTTTTATAAGTAAATAAAATGGATAGGACCACGTGACAACATCAGAATGACTTTTTGCCAATTTTCGGGTATTTCCTATGTAATTACAAAAAATGACCAAACATTTTAAGTACGCACAGGTACGTTGGCACAGGTAATTAATCGGTCAAAGATCATTAAAATTCCATACTTCCAGTTTTAGGCTTTTTATTTAGAGCAATAGCAAATTGAAAATATAATTAAGCGGCAACAATTTTGTGGATTTTTTTTAAAAAATGACCAAAAATCTAAAATCAAAATTATTAGCTTTCCAGCGCACAATGGCCACCAAAACCTCCGGATACCAATCATTGAAATTCCCTCCCTGACAATTTTTGGGGTTTTATTTAGACCAAATGCCCAAAAAATAAAATCAAAACATAATTGAGTGGCAACAATTTTGTGGATTTTTTTTTTTAAAAATGACCAAAAATCTAAAATCGCAAGAAAAATCTCAAAAATTTGCCGAAACATAATTTAGTGGTCAAAATTATTTTTTTTAAAAATAAAAGGAATCGTTATCACAGGCGACAGGTTTGTTCAAGAAAAACATTGTTAATCAAATTTTCCTCTCTGTCCATTTATGCTTGTGATTTTAACAAAAATGCCCAAAAAGACCCACAATTTTTTTTTGAGGTGGCAACAATGTTTTTTTTTTCGTAAACATAATAATGAAATTCTTACCCTGGATACATAAATTGACAGGTGCCGCGGAATACCCCACGATAGGAGTTCTCATTGACGTTACGGCTCAATTTGAGGAACTCATTCTGGGGATCACTGAAACTGTCCACATCCAAACCAAATATGGACGAGGCAATGATGTCAATGGCATAACTGAAAGAGTGAAACAAAATAAAAATATTTAGAAAGTTCCATAGATGTTTAATAAAGCAATGGAATTTTTTTTAAGGAAAAGACAAATTTTTAATGAGTGAGAGAGCAAGAGGTGGTAGGGTAGGGAGATTTAGATTCATTTTTAAACTCACGTCACAAATAAATGTTTCACTTCAATCTGTTTAAATTCCCGATCCGGCAATTGCCCCTTCAAATGGTCCACCATGCGCAGCGAAACATCATGAATTGTGTCGAACATCCCCCGCAGCTTTCCCGATGTAAATGAGGGAGCCAATTTCGTGCGCAACGTCTTCCACTGTTGTCCCTTGAGAAAGAAGATGCCTCCGGACATGGGATCATGAATCTCATCCACATAAATGCCACGATCATGAAAACTGGCAAAATCCTTGGTCAACATATCGCGGGCCAATTGGGCATCCCGCACCAGTAGGGCAGGACGATTTATCAAATACATGCCAACCACCTTGTGCTCACGGGTCTGTTCATAGATATCATAGATTGCCATGCCTACGGATTTTTTCCATGTTCGCACCACAGGATCCAGCACGCCGAAGGGAACCTGGGCTGGGATGTAAGGATAACCGTGACGTTGCCAATAACTATAACACCATTTGAAATAGAACAGTATTGCCGAACAGACAGCAATGATGATGTAGAGGAACATTTTTTCCGATTTTTAGATTCTTCTCCCGAATTTCACTTTTCACTGTACCAAATCCTAAGACCAACTAAAAACGTAAATTTCACAAGTCATCGTTTTATATGGAAATATTCCGCTTACGCTTTTGGACCTTATCAGCCAGCATTTGATTATGGTTTTGTTTACTTTGCTGCTGCCACTACCGTGGCCTGTCCAAATAGCGGGAAAGGGATTATTTAACTAAAAACCAATATTTAATCTGTCAGTAGTTTTTTGTTGGTGTTTTTGTCTATCTCCTGTCTTAATGTCTGTCTTATCAGAATAGTGTGCCATGTGTGCGTGTGTGTGTCTAATGATGGCATAGTTTTGTTATTGTATAATAATTGTTCAGGGACTTATGGGTGTGTGTGTGGAAAATGTGTCGGGAATTTTAATACCAATTTACCTGCGCAGTAGGTGATAAAACAATGTTTTTTAGGAAAATTAGTTGGGTAGGTTATCTATCGGTCATAAGTAATTTGTGTTAAATTACAATCTTATTGAATTTTAATACCGAATGTTTCAGGGAAATATTTCCAGTAATGAGGGTTACCACATGACAATATTGAGTCTACTCTACAGTCAATAGCATTTCGAAATTTGGGTATTTTTTTCAGAAAAGTGCATAAATCGAATTTTTGTTTCAAACTAATCCAGGATACGCTTGTATTTTTTGATTTGGGTACAAATCAATTCAGCAATCTCAGCCAATGTTCGATTATTTAAATATATTTTGACTTCTGTTATAATTGATCCTTTATGGGGGAGGTCCCAGATATAGTGAACCGAGGTATCAGATATATATATCGTATGTAGACACAAGAGAGTAAACAATAAGTTTGTCAGTTCACTAGCTTTACTGTTTTATGAAACACAGGTCAAATAGCGTCCAACGTGGGGAAACAGGTAAATTTCCATAAAAAATTCTCTCCAAATTTTACACGAACTTGGGATCAACATAGCGTTTTTCAGTTCTCAAAACATATAGATTTATTATTACACTGGCTAAATGGTGCCCAATTTGGCGATCCAAAAAATAAGTTAATAAAAAAATTTTAAATTTTTAAAAGTTATATTGCTTTATGTTAACACAGGCTAAATGGCGCCCAACGTGGGAAACCAAAGAATTCTTATAAAATATATGGCATGTATCGCATGTAAAGTAAGGGGTAAACAATAAGTTTATCAGTTCACCAGATTTACTCCTCTATGGAACACAGGCAAAATGGCGCCCAAAGTGGGAAAACCACTCAATTGCCATTAAAAACAAGTTAAAAAGTATAAGGAGGTTTTGCCGACAGATGTGTTCAATTTTTATGCGACATTTATATCCAATTTTATGAGAAATCATAAATTCCATGATCCTCTCAGATTTCTGGCTGAGAGAAATACTTAGATATAGCAAGTTGTAAAGAATCGCTGATTTGTTTCGCAAGATATGACAGATAAATGTATTGAAAATTTTGACCCTTTGTGGGTGAGGTACCAGAAGGGGTTCGCAGATATATATCAACTTCATAACAGATCTTGTGTTAGCAAAAAAAAATTTATGTGTGAAATTTGAAGAGATTTGGATGCTTATTTCGCTTTATTTGAGCGTTTTGTTTTTCAAAATCTTGAACCCTAAGTATGGGGGAGGTACCAGAAGAAATTGTTCGATCTATACCAGTCTAAATGGAATCTGATCTTAATGTGGCGTTTTATGAGCTTCATGGGTATTCAAAATTTCGACATTTTGTGGGGGAGGTACCAGAACGGGGTTCATCTTCACAACAGGTCTTGTGTTAGCAAGTAGCTTGGAGTGTAAGATGCTTGGAGCTTTTTATTTTTCAAAATTTTGAACCCTATTTAGGGGAGGTACCAGAAGAAATCGTTCGATCTCTGCCATCTGTATAACAGATCTTGTGTTGATGGAAATATTGAGATGTGGCAAGACTGAATGAAATCGGATGTAAATTTCGCGTTTATGAGCTTCATGGATATTCAAAATTTTGAACATTACCGGAAGAAGTCGACATCACATTTTATAAGAGTTATAATTATTCGAATTTTTTTACCCTTTGTGAGGAAGGAACTAGACCGATATTGTCCATTTTCGCAGCTGACCTAGCACTGAAGCAAATATTAGGTGGCCACTAGCCAGCGAGACAGACAGACGGACGGACGGACATCGCTAGATCGACTCCAAATGTTTTGAAACGGATTTGGTCCAAAGAGACCCAAGGTCTAAAACCGTTTCGATGAGACATGCTTTGGCCGTATCAAATGAAATATACGGCTGAGGGTATAAAAGGTTCAAGCATGGTTGATTCGCTGTCTGTTTGTTTCTGATATTTAAAAAATCCTCATTTTTTGGCTGTTAAAAAAATATTTAAAAAAAAATCACATTTTTTTCGGTGTTGGGAAAATTGAGAAAGAAATCTTTAAATCTCTTTATGTGAAAAGTCCGACATATTGTCGAATGTGTTTTGTTTCTTCTTCATTATTCCAAAATCTCTCAACCCAAAATTGTATTTATTATAATATAACAAAATACAAATATAACAAAAACATAACAATTGAGACAGATATGTTCCGTATTTATTTATATATGAAAATGACTTGGCATATTGTTCCTCTGTTTTCAGTACAAATATTGATGTTTGCGTTTATTTCCATTTGGAAGACTTGCTGAAGCGTGTGTTTCAGGCCAATAAAAATGATAAGAATAATCCCTCTTATTATACAGTTGATAGCATGGGATATACGGAGGCTCGTGGATTGTAAAAACATAATTAATGTATTTTCTATCTTTTCTTATGTTTAAAAAAGTTTTGGCTTTTATTTATTTGCTAAATGTTTAAAATGTTTTGGACGGTTTTATGCCAGGGACGTTCATAGAAATTCATTTCCAAACTATTTAGAGGGCGAAGGAAAACTTGCGATAACTTAACTCTTCCATATTAAATGTGCAGAAAATGTCAAAAAATAAAAAAAAACATTTGTGGGTTCCGTTTACCGCCCTGGGTTATGATACTTTTCACGTATATGAAACACAACGATCTCCCATGGATGTTATCTCTTTTAAAAGAGAGAGAGAGAGAGATCTTCGAACGGAAAAGACCAAAATATTATTGTTTTTATAGAAATAAAAACAATAACAACATTCACTGTTGCTTACCAACACAAAATCCTATGAAGAGATAATAAACAATGAGATGCAGAATTTATTTATTTATAAACATTGTTTTTTTATATTTTTACTAAATTGAAATTGCACGGTCATCATGCGATGGGTCTAGTTATTTAAAGAATATATGTTTTAAGAATCAAATAAACATGGATTTCAATTTTTTTAAATAGTCTTTTAGGTACCAGTCATACGTGGATGCCAAATAAAAATCTTCAACACTTTCAAAGAATCATGGACTTTTTAAAAATATCATACATTTAAAAAATATATATATTTTTTTCTATAAATATATATATTTTTTACACCCCTATTTACGATCAAAACGTACCTCTTCGAAATAACAGTTTTTGTCATTGAACCAAATCCGTTTCAGGATGTTTGGAGTCGATCTAGGGGTGTCCGTCCGTCCATCTGTTTGCATGTATGTTTTGTTGGTGCTAACATTCGAAGCGAGTATCCGATTTCTTTCAAACTTGGTACATTGTAATACTATTATGAAACTTAGAGCGAGTTCGAAGATGAGCAATATCGGTCCACTCCTTCTGGTACCTCCCCCTACAAAACGTCAATATGCTCACAACAAATATTTTACTGCACAGAAAGAGAAAGGATATTCCGATTTTGCTCCAACTTTGCATACCCTAATATTTGTATCTATGCTATGTCAATGGGCAACTTCGGTCCACTCTATCAAGTACCTCGCCCACAAAGGGCTAACATTTTAAATAATTATAACTCTTATAAAATGTGAAATAAGAGTTCGATTGTCTTCAAATTATACACATCACAATATTTTTATTAACACAAAAATTGGTGAAAATATGATAGATTTCTGTCCAGCCCTTCTGGTATCTCCCCGGCAACGGGTAAAAATTTTGAACAATTTTAACTCCTACGAAATGTGAAATAAGCATCCGATTCTTTCATAACTTCACAAATTTAAATATTTCTACAAGTACAAGATCTGTTGTAAAGATGGCATATATATGATCACTTCTTCTGGTACACCCCCCCCCACATAAAGGGGTCAAATTTTTGAATAACAATGAAGTTCATAAAAGGCTAAATAAGCTTCCAATTACTTCTGAACTTCACTCATTTCAATATTTCTACTGTCACAAGATCTGATATAAAGATGATAGATATCGGCTCACTCCTTCTTGTACCTCTCACAAAAAGGGGTCAAAAGTTTTGAATAGCCATGAATCTCATAAAACGCGAAATAAGCTTCCGATTGTTTCTTAACTTCACATAATTCAATACTTCTACTAGCACAAGATCTGTTGTGAAGTTGGTGCATAGCGGACCACTTCTTCCGGTACCTTCCCCAGTAAGAGGTCAACATCTTGAAAAATTATCATAAAATGCGAAATGAAAATGAGCAACTGCTTCATTTCTAACTCACCACATTCAAATATTTCTATCAACACAAGTTGTGGTGTGAAGATGTATAATATCGGCTCAATCCTTCTGGTGCCTTCCACACAAAGGGGCCAATATTTAGAATAACCATGAAGCTCATAATATGCGAAATTAACATCCGATTCCCTTCAGAATTGGCACATCTCAATATTTGTATCAACACAAGATCTGTTATAAAAATGGTAGAGATCAAAACATTCCTTCTGGTACCTCCCCCACAACAGGGTCAAGGTTTTGAATAACCAAAACGATAAAAAAAATCTGAAATAGGCATCCAGTTCTCTTCATATTTCACACATCCCATTATTCCTACGAACACAAGATCTGCCGTGAAGATGGGATGTATCGGTTTACTCCTTCTGCTACCACCTTCACAAAGGGAATACATTTTGAATATTCATGAAGTTCAGAAAATGCGATACTTACAT